AAGATAACCTAAAAAAAGCCAATTATCCAAGGAATTATCCAAGCATTATCAGCGGAAGGCACCAAGCCATTACGACTACATAGCACTGGGAAGGGGGTCGAGATAAGGATTTGGGATGGGCCGGAGAGGGAAAGAATGGTGCCCAACTGCTTGGTGGACGGTCGGGGGATTGAACGCCGACCTGCACGAAGCGAGACCGTCGGTCTACCGTCCAGCCCAAGGGGATGAAGAGCTGGAGGAAATATTTTAAATGTAATTGTTCGCATGTAGTGACCTGGTAGCCTGGTGGATAGCGCGCAGGACTCTTAATTCTGTGGCGCGGGTTCGATTCCCGCACGAGGCAGAAACAAATGGGCAAAGTTTCTTTCACCCTGAATGCCCCTGTTACCTAGCAGTAAATAGGTACCTGGGAGTTAGTCAGCTGTCACGGGCTGCTTCCTGGGGGGTGGAAGCCTGGTCAAGGACCGGGCCGCGGGGACACTAAAAGCCCCGAAATCATCTCAAGATCTCAAGATGTATGTCAGTGTTATCTCGCTTCACTTTAACTGTAGTTTGAATCTCTTCCAGCTGATGGGTTACTTGTTAATTCTTCAGCCAGGATTCATGAATTATTTTCGCAACCGCTTACGAAACCTCTACATCTTTCAACAATCATTACGGCTTTGTTTACATTTAATTAAACAACTTACGATCTTAACTTCCCAACCAAAAATTATTATTGCTATTAACAACCTCCTGGTGATTCAGAGCTCAAACTGATTAATAAATGTAAGCAAAGTCGCAATAAGTGCTGAATGATACACAGGTTTCGTACATGTTTGACGAATCTTAGCCTACTTGTATACTAACTACAAGTACCAACTTTAACTCCTGATTGCAGTTCTCTGTAGTCAATCACGTACGTGAGACACTAAACTGCTTGATAATAAAGAGTTTAGCACATGCCAATTAGCGAAAAAAATATCATCATCCACTATTAGAAAACAGCGCGCAGGACTGACCGTACAGTCTGTGACTTGGTTCTTAATTACTAACTTTATACTTTCTAACTTGGAGCTGAGGAGAGACGAAGCTCTCTAAACCTTCCCCAAGTCCTCATGTTACTCTCAGACTCGGAGCTGGGGATAGTCGCACTCTACACCACCCACAAGTCCTCATGTTACTCTCAGACTCGGAGCTGAGGATAGTCACACTCTACACCTACAAGTCCTCATGTTACTCTCAGACTCGGAGCTGAGGATAGTCGCACTCTACACCTACAAGTCCTCATGTTACTCTCAGACTCGGAGCCGAGGATAGTCGCACTCTACACCTACAAGTCCTCATGTTACTCTCAGACTCGGAGCTGAGGATAGTCGCACTCTACACCTACAAGTCCTCATGTTACTCTCAGACTCGGAGCTGAGGATAGTCACACTCTACACCTACAAGTCCTCATGTTACTCTCAGACTCGGAGCTGAGGATAGTCGCACTCTACACCTACAAGTCCTCATGTTACTCTCAGACTCGGAGCTGAGGATAGTCGCACTCTACACCTACAAGTCCTCATGTTACTCTCAGACTCGGAGCTGAGGATAGTCACACTCTACACCTACAAGTCCTCATGTTACTTTCAGACTCGGAGCTGAGGATAGCCGCACTCTACACCTACAAGTCCTCATGTTACTCTCAGACTCGGAGCTGGGGATAGTCACACTCTACACCACCCACAAGTCCTCATGTTACTCTCAGACTCGGAGCTGGGGATAGTCACACTCTACACCACCTACAAGTCCTCATGTTACTCTCAGACTCGGAGCTGAGGACAGTCGCACTCTACACCACCTACAAGTCCTCATGTTACTCTCAGACTCGGAGCTGAGGATAGTCGCACTCTACACCACCACCTACACCTAATGTGATTTAAGAAAATATTTTGTAGCATAATATGCTTCGATATATTTTGCCCAACATTTAATTTACCGTTTTCTCTATTCTATAATTGTTAAACTATATTTTGCTTATGCTACATGTCTAATATAGTTATGTTGTCCCATGGCCCTTTATCATGTTTATTAAAGAGAGCTGATGATATTTAACTATATAGGACTTTTGTTAATTCTGTTCTGTACGTTAAAGATAGTTAGGTTACCTAGCAATAAAATAGGTACCTGGGTGTTAGTCAGCTGTCACGGGCTGCTTCCTGGGGGTGGAGGCCTGGTCGAGGACCGGGCCGCGGGGACACTAAAAAAAAAAAGCCCCGAAATCATCTCAAGATAACCTCAAGATAAGAAGATGAATTTATATCTTTGTACACTTGAAGATGAGAGTACACTTATCGAAACGTGTGACAATGAGTTCCATATGAAGTTATTGCTATTAATAATAATAATAATTTCACCTGGGCTCAAGGAGACTCGAACTCCGAGTCCCATGAGTGTGTGGCAGAGGCTCTATCCACTCAGCTATTGAATGAAACGTTTATATTCACGGAAATAAACAATTTCAACTTCTATGACAATTGAAATTTCTCCCAGTTACTCATTATTTTTTTAAAATATTATTATTATTATTATTTAAAAATAAATAATATATATTTTAATACAATTATTAGTAATAGTATTGTTTTCTCTCAGACATTATTTGTGAAATTTATGTAAGGAATTTACACCAAGTCTTTCGTACTCTCCTGAATGCTTTATCAAGGTGTGAGTGTGTGGTGAGGACGGGACTTACATCTTAAAGTCTAATGTTCAGACGTTGAGACGCAAGTCCTAATCTCAAACTCAGACCTTGATGAAGATTTGCGAAAGATTTGGTGTACATTCCTTATATAAATTTCCCATATACATAAATGTGGGGTTTTACCCAAAATTATTAATTATTATTATTAATCATCCAAGGCTGCATTATGACTCGCTAAAGAATATATTATAGCTCACTTAAGAATTATACATCCTCCCCCCCCCCCCACACCACCATCCAAACATACTCCGGTACATTTTCCTTAATCATGGCGGCTTTGTTTACGTTTGTTAAACAGTTGACGAGCGCTGAAACCTTACCAACCAAGGTTATTATTGCTTTAAACAACCTCGTAACGCTCCGACGCTCGTTAGCTGTTTAATAAATGTAAACGAAGGGGAAGAGGAGGGGGGGGGGGAGATGTATAGGTTTCGTAAGTTTTGTGTAAATGCTTGACGAGATGTGGATCATGGAGACAATTCGCTCTTGAATAAAGATGTCTTCTGGGGGTGTGCGGACCCCCCTTTAAGAACTGATTCATCAAGATGGTCAAGGCTGCCGGCGGATACCTTGTGGTGGACCTTACAAACAAAATGTCTTATGTGGACAAGCCTTGTGAAGGGGGAGGGAAGGGGACCACAAGAACGTGCGCTCGCGCACACGCGTCCTCCTTGCAAGGAAATGCAACATGTTTTGCCGTGTTTGTTTTATCTGGTAACTCTTGGTGTGTTTTTTTTTCTTGTTCGTGGAAGTGTACCATTGTGGGGTTACAGGAGTGTGTGTACCGCACCAGTGCTCCTTGCATGGTACAGAGCCATTATATGTACCATTTTTATCGGACATTCTTGACACGGACCTGCCCAAGACTCTCTCTTTCCTCTCTTTCATTTCAAAGATTTTCCTGCTTGCAGTCTTCCGAGACGTCTCGAGTCAGCTATATGAAGCCGAGATATATATATTATATTATATTATATATATAATAGTCTACTGCATTCTATGAAAGAGTTTATATATATAAGTGGACAGTTATAGAATCTGTACTGACCGAATAACCTGAAATACTTAAGATAAATCTTTGTAAATTATATAATCTCATTTAAGTGACAAATTCACAGGGAGGGTTTCCCCTCTACAGCATCCTCAAAGCCATGTTTTGTCATGGGATATGCTACGAAGGCTCTCCGAGAGAGAGAGAGAGAGAGAGAGAGAGAGAGAGAGAGAGAGAGAGAGAGAGAGAGAGAGAGAGAGAGGGGCAGGCCCCCAAATGAGTGCCAATGAAAGCTGTCCCTTCCTTTCACCTTGACACACTTTGACTGAACCTTCTCACTTTTCACCCCCCCCCCCCAACACAGCCGGCAGCCAGCGCCAACACAGCCGGCAGCCAGCACCAACACCCGCCAGCTGGTGACCAAGACAAAAGCTCTGCTTCACTTTCACTGAGCGAGACTGCGCGCGCCTCCACTCCCTGTATGCAACACCCGCTCTCTTTGCCTGGTCGAGCGGGCATGAGCGCGCTTTTACTAGCCACCTCTTGTCATTACCTGAGCCTTTAGTGGCCCTCAGGTAAATTCAGGTTCAATTTACTAGTTAACCATTACAGTCAAATTGTTAGATACACATTAACGGTAGGTTTGCTTGCTAGCAATTGAGTTTAGTTTATGTTAGATAGGCTTTAACTGCTGATTTGCCAGCCATAAATTGCCAGAGAATTTAGTAGACAATTTTATATAAATTGTCCTTATATTACAAAACTTAAAGCAAGTGTTTTAACAAATTGTAATTAAATAAATCATTAATAAATGCAACATAAACCTTGAAAAAAAAAGATTAATCGAGGCCTGAATTCGGGTTGTAATGATGTGGTCACATTCATACAACATGCCGTAACACAGAGGCAAGGAAGGGAATTATGTGGGGGGGGGGGGGAAAGAGCCAAGCCATTACGACTATATAGCACCCAAAAGATATCCCAAAACGACCAAACAGACCAGGAAGATGTCGGAAACGACCTCAGGAACTCTTCGGCTCCATCGGCAAGGAAGGACGTACTCCAGGAGCATCAGTCCTTCCTGGTTCCCACCAGTGGAAGCGGGAAAGGGAAAAAAACCGTCTTTTAGGAAGGCGAACTACCTTCGTGAGTACGATTATATCCGCACGTAGTCGGTGCTATAGGAAGTCCGTGGGTTTGGTGTGGTCGGTCGCTGCAACAAGGTCAGCGGCGACTTCGTGGCAAGAAAGGCCGGATCTCTGCCTCAGTATATCGCCAGCGCGGCCGCAATACAGACGTTGGGTACCTTCACCTCTCGGCTCTCTGGATTATCCAAGTGTCTCTCCACTGTGTTGTCAAGAGACTTCTCTCCAACCTCCAGCTACTCCTCTCCTGCTGCTGCTGCTGCTGCTGCCGCCCTCAGCCACCGTTGTCATCACCTCCAACAACCCGGTACTTGACTAGTGCTTTTGTTGAAGTGGGCACTTCTGGGTGCCGAGTGCCACCACTGTGTTTGGGTCCATCAGGGCAAACAGAAAACGTGTACCGTTTGGAGTATCACTAATGCTTACGGATCTCGCCCGCTTTTCTCAACGTTCGGTTAATCATTCTCAATATAAAACCCACACGCGCACACACGCGCACACATACACACACGCACACACCTGAAGAGCCACAAGCAGGGCTTCGAGTTACCATGCGTTATCGTGCAGTTCGGTGATATTTTTTACAGTAACACAACTCTATTACCCGTGGGAAAAGCGATTACAATGAACTTAATACATTAATATATAAATTCTTGAAAACATTGCTACTTAAAAATAGCGAAGAGTGGTTTACGTTCCGACAGGTAGACACAAGTGTGGATAATTTATGACACGAAGCAAGACTGAAAAAAAAAAATGGAAATCCGGTTGTCTCCAAAGCCTACAGATCCGGATAAATGAGGTGGCGACCGATCAATGTAAGTACTCAGGTGATGTAATGATTGACTACGAATCCGGCCTGTCAAGAGCGCGGTTGACAGGTGTCAACCCAACATAAACATTGTGTATATAAAGAGTCGTCATGAAGTGAACAAAAAAAAAAGGGGGAATCCCTGTGGAAGGAAATTAAGTCTTATTCTGTAATAAAATATTTTTAATAATGTAATTATTAAAAATTATTTCGATTGCTTAAAAGTTGGACAATTTAATTAGTTTACATAAAGAGTCATTATGGTGAGTGAGCGCATGTGAGTTGACGAGGGTTTGTGTACTCACCTAATTGTGTTTGCGGAGGTTGAGCTCTGGCTCTTTGGTCCCGCCTCTCAACTGTCAGTCACCTGGTGTACAGATTCCTGAGCCTATTGAGCTCTATCATATCTACATTTGAAACTGTGTATGGAGTCAGCCTCCACCACAACACTACTTAATGCATTGTGTGTGAGTGAGTGAGTGAGTGCTTGAGTTGGTGAGTGAGAGTTTGAGAGAGTTTGAGCGAGGGGAGGTAAAGTAAAGAAAGGGAAGGAAAGGGGGCCACATACCCACCTCTCTCTCTCTGTCACACTCACTTCCTCTATCCCCTCTCGCACTCTATCTCCTCCCTCTGACACTCAACTCCATCCCCCTCTGGCACTCTTACCCTCATCTCTGGTACTCTCACTCATTATTAGTAACTGATGTTTCCTGAGTAATTATAATATCAATTAGTCACGCACTCATAACCTAGTGAACACACCCACACACCTCTACCTGTTCTCCACTAGGTAATTAACCAGTAATTAACAGGTAGAGTGAGAGCACTCCCCCCCACAAGTGCTGGAGGTCCCCCCCCCTGGCCAGCGCCGGGGCCCCCCAGTGAAAGGTACACACACAGGATGGAAAAGAAAATCCCTTTCTCTTTTACGTTTGGTAAGTCACACACGTCCACTTCATCGGCCGGCCGGACGCATCGGTAATGTTATACAACGCACGTGCTAAACCGGCCCGACGCACCCCTTGTTGACGCTCATCCGGCCCGACGCATCTGTTACAAGCGGTTGACGTAATGACGCATAAGGAATATATAGAAACCAGGTACCTAACGGGTGAGGTGTGTCAAGGGTGTGTCAAGGGCGTGTCAAGGGTGTGCCAAGGGTGTGTCAAGGGTGTGTCAAGGGCGTGTCAAGGGTGTGTCAAGGGCGTGTCAAGGGTGTGTCAAGGGAGTGTCAAGGGTGTGTCAAGGGAGTGTCAAGGGTGTGTCAAGGGAGTGTCAAGGGTGTGTCAAGGGAGTGCCAAGAGTGTCAAGGGAGTGTCAAGAGTGTCAAGGGAGTGCCAAGAGTGTCAAGAATGTCAAGGGAGTGCCATGGGTGTGTGAAGGGAGTACCAAGAGTGTCAAGTGCCAGGAGTGTCAAGTCCCAAGGGTGTGTCAAGGAAGTGCCAAGAGTGTCAAGGGAGTGCCAAGGGTGTGTGAAGGTAGTACCAAGGGTGTGTGAAAGAAGTGCCAAGAGTGTCAAGTCCCAAGGGTGTGTCAAGGAAGTGCCAAGAGTGTCAAGGGAGTGCAAAGTGTGTGTGAAGGGAGTGCCAAGGGTGTGTCAAGGGAGTGCCAAGAGTGCCAAGAGTGTGTCAAGGGCGTGTCAAGGGCGTGTCAAGGGAGTGCCAAGGACGTGCCAAGGGAGTGCCAAAGGTGTGACAAAGACACCAGAGAGTGACAATGGTATAATATACAATCTAATGAGCGACATGATTGCACCACCCGACGGAAGAAAGAAGAGAGAGGCAAACAAACAAAAAAGCAATACACAAAAGGCCAACAAAACCCTAAAAAATCCCTACCCCCCCCCCCCCCCCCCCCCCAGGAAACACACGAGAAACACAGGCACCGCGTATGTGTAATTATTCACATTAAAAGAAACAAAGTATTACAAAAACTATAATTGCCAGAGGAAAGGGAAGGAACTATCAGGATAAACGCCAAGCCATTATGACTATATAGCACATGGGATATATATATATATATACATATATATATATATATATATATATATATATTATATAAATATGTATTATATAAAATATATATATTATATTTCTTGTAACCAGAACTAACCATGATTTTAGACTAATTGTACCGGAACGGCGTCGCTGCGTACAGAGTCGGCGTTCGATCCCCCAATGGTCCAAGTAGAGGGGGACTGTTTGTTCCCTCCGTCCTCATATACCAGCTCTTAGTATGTCCTCATAGCCCTTCCAAGTGATAGGTAATCAGAGTAGAGAGAGAGAGAGAGTAGAGAGTAGAGAGAGGAGAGAGAGTAGAGAGAGTAGAGAGAGAAAGAGAGTAGAGAGAAAGAGAGTAGAGAGAGTAGAGAGAGTAGAGTAAAGAGAGAGAGTAAAGAGAGAGAGTAAAGAGAGTAAAGAGAGAGAGTAAAGAGAGTAAAGAGAGAGAGTAAAGAGAGAGAGTAAAGAGAGAGTAGAGAGAGAGTAGAGAGAGAGAGAGTAGAGAGAGAGTAGAGAGAGTAGAGAGTAGAGAGAGAGTAGAGAGAGAGTAGAGAGAGAGAGAGTAGAGAGTACAGAGAGAGAGAGATATGGAACAAGTTGGGAGAAACTCATACATATTGCTTAGCAATTTACCAACACACACACACACACACAACCACTGTGTTTCAGGTACATTATAAAACTGCGTGAAAGTGGTGTCACCTGTGGCGGGAATTCAATCACACGGTCCTCATTCGTGGCGGGAATGCAAGGGGGTGTGGCCGCAGTGCCCGAAGCGATGCGATATGTAGAGAAAACACCACACAGCAAGTTTCCTTTCGCCTAATGCCTCTCTCTCTGTGTTCACCTAGCAGTAAATAGGTACTCGGGAGTTAGGCGACTGTTATGGGAGCTGCATCCTGGTAAGGGTCATCAGTGATTGGCCCTGTAGGGAAGGTGGGGGGGGGGGACGTAGATAAGCCCAACAGGCTTCCTGTCCCCAACTATGGAAAACCTTAAGGTGAACCACCACACAGAGAGAGAGGAGGCCTGGTCGACGACCGGGCCGCGGGGACGCTAAGCCCCGGAAGCACCTCAAGGTAAGGAACCACACCAAACCTGCTTGAGTCTAAGTAATTATGTAGAGCCGGGATACGAAGGTATAAGGAGCTGAGATATGAGGACAATTAGGAGCTGGGATGTGCGACAGGAGAAAAGGAACGGTGCCCAAACCACAAGGGCCATCGGGGATCGAAACACCGACCTTGCAATTAAGAACCAAGGCCGTTATCTTGAGATGATTATCTTGGAGATGATTTCGGGGCTTTAGTGTCCCCCGCGGCCCGTTCCTCGACCAGGCCTCCACCCCCAGGAAGCAGCCTGTGACAGTCGACTAACACCCAGGTACCTATTTTACTGCTAGGTAACAGGGGCATAGGGGGCAAACTCTGCCCATTGTTTCTCGCCGGCGCCCGGGATCGAACCCGAGACCACAGGATCACAAGTCCAGTCCGTCACTATCAACCAGACCAAGTGGACTGTATACCACTTGGAATACCCAAGTGGAAGTCCAGGGGATACCAAGGATAACTAAGATGCTCCCTAATGGGGGATCAGGAAATGCCTGTCTCCTGCAAGGTATGGAGGACGGTCGAGTGACGTCACAAACCGGTACCCATACCCCATAAGAGAGAAGCGGAAGGAGGGTACATATTGTGGCCAACCCTCTCTCAAGGCGGCGGTCGTGGAATAGCACGTATCTCGAGACACGCATGACCTTTCTTGTCTCAGTTATCTCATGTTAATGAGATTCGGCCTTTGGTCCAGGTCCCTATAGTCTCCTCTCCCTTTTTCCTAACCCTCTCCCCGAGCCCCTGCCTCTCCTTACTGGTACCAATCCTTCAATACCCCTTCTCCCTAATCATCCCTCTGTTGCTACTACCCAGCCTCCCCTTCACTCAAGTCTTCCACCCTACAATTCCCTTTCACTCTCCCTTATTGCATCCCCTCTGCTCCCTCCAAGGTCACATCTACCCTCCAGGCCCCACCAACCCTCCAAGACCCCCCCCCCCATCTACCGTTCCTCTTAAGCCCTCCCTCCCTCCCTCCTTCCCCATCGGTTCACACCCCTTTCACTATTTCTGCCTTTCTGACCCGCATTTCCCTACCAGTGTTGAAGAGACCCGCGTTCAACACCAGCACTGAGTCAAGTGTTGCCCCACCGCGAGGCCAGAGACTGGTAATACAACACAGGTGTTTAATGACCCTACAAAGCAATTATACATTAAGTCATTGTTTCATTCTGCTAAGGAGAAAGCATCAGTGTCTTGAATTCAGTGTCTACTGGGATTACAATATCGGGAAGAGGCATTCTTTTTACAGCATCATGGATTTAGAAATCATTAACAGCCTCTCTTATAAAATGTACTATTATTTCTACTTCTAGTGCGGCATGTGTTACTACTACATCTACCTCTACTCCTGATACATATTGGTACAACAATAACGATACATATT